ATGACCACGCTCAAGCCTATGTCCACCGCGGGTGTTCTCCTCTTCGTGTGGAGATCATCGGGCGGCATGAAGTCAACGCTGAAAAGCTTTGACTTCTATTTGGCATTGATGGTTTGGTTGCTCGCCACACCGATGTGGCTATCGCCGAAGTGGCAAGATCAGGTGATATCTGTTCTGCCGAACCTGCTGGGCTTTACCTTGGGCGGCTTTGCCATCTTTCTCGGCTTCGGGAGCGACGATTTCAAGCGAGCAATCGCGCGTGCAGACGAAAGTAAGTCCCCATATTTGAGCGTCAACGCGGCATTTATGCTGTTTGTTGCCTTTCAACTGGCTGCGCTCATGACTGCCATTGTGGCGAGCGCCTTATGGAGTATCAGCACGCCCGATTTCCTCGCCCCTTGGTCGTCCTACATCCAGGTGGCCTCAAAGGTTGGTGGCGGTTTCGGATATTTTCTCTTTTGCTACAGCCTGGCACTCGTTCTCAGAGCCGCTGTGAGGATATTTAGATTGGGCCGTTGGTACAACGCATATCTTCACCCGCAGGCGCCGGCAAGAGAAGACGTGACGCCGAGCCAGCAGTGCAAGTAATTGCGAGAGAAGTGGCCCGTAGAGTTCCAAGATACTAGAGGGATTCGGATGGACAGGCACCCTTCGACGAAGTTGCAATGGCTTCACCGCAACGTCCACCGGAAGGAGCCCGTCATGACCTCAGTCGCCAGGCGCCCCGCCACCTCACCCAGCGTCACTCAGCACTGGACGCCCTGTTTGACGCGGTCGGCGTCGAAGCCCTTGCGCTGAACTTCGCCCAGGCACTGGCCGAGGTTGCAAGCCTGAACCGCACCAGCGCCGGCATCCGCTTCTATCGCTGGCGCGCTGCACGGCCGGGGCAGGAGCCGCAAGCGGCCTGACCGGCACAGTTCACCCAGCACACAGCGGTCCTTCGGGGGCCGCTTTGCATTGGTGGGCCGGCCGTGGCCCGTGGTCAAGCGGCAGCCAGGCCGGAATCCGGGCCGCCACCTGTCGCAGCGGGTTGGGGCAAGGGTTTGGCGCGGAGCGCGGCTGCGGCGGCGCCTGGGGCGTTTTGGCGGGTGTCTCCCTACGGCCTGCGTACAGCCGAGCGGCGCCGGTCATGTTGGCGCTGGGTAGCGGCGCAGGATTGGGTGCCCTGTGCCAGCAAGACAGGCATCTCAAGCGCGCTTGCGCTTCGGAGCTGGCGTAGGGGCATGCTGCTTCAGGTGATCGAACAAATCGAAGACTGAGAGCCCAAGCCCGTTCGCGATTACTTCAACGGCATTCAGCGTTGGGTTGGCTCGGCCGTTCTCGATGCGGCTGAGATAGGTCTGATAGAAGCCGCACCGCTCGGCGAACTCCACTTGGCTCAGCCCGGCATCAGTCCGCAGCTCGCGCACGCACGTTCCAAATCGCTGAGACAGAGGGCCACCCACGCGGTCACTGTCCCAGTTATGCTCTTATTCACATAAACACTAATTCGTATAGAGGGCTGAGCGATGAGGCTGGTGCACGGGTTGGCGGCAATCGCTCTTGCCGCTGGGGCGGTTCACGCCGGAGCGGTTCCTTTGGACTTCAAAGGGCTCGTGCTGGGGGCCGCGGTGACGTCGCAGGAAGTTGAAGAACGGCTGGGAGCGGTTCGCTGCGGTGAGGGCGCGGAGGGCGTCATGGTCTGCAATGGAAGGACGACGGTCGCTGGCGTCGCTGCGAACGTCAATGTCGTCATCAGTGCTGCGGGCCTACTACAGCGCGTGCTGCTTGACTTAAGCCCCGATCACTTCGACGCGGTCGCCGAGGAGCTGCAGAAGAAGTTTGGAAAGCCGCAAGGCCGAAACGGCGGCACAGTGCAGAACGCCTACGGCGCAAGGTTTTCGCAGACGGACCTGACTTGGTCCGACGGTCGCGGCGGGCTCGTCAACTTCCGCAGGTATGCCGGATCGATTGACGTTTCCAACCTGTACTTCAGCACTCCGGAAGAGCGAAGGATATGGAGCGCTCCATCCAAGACCGGCGATCTCTAGTTGGTGCAGAGGATTGCGGGCGTCTCCACCCCTACCTCACCACGGTCGCGCGCGCAGGCGGCCATGAGCGCCGACTGATGCTCGATGGCCCGAGCTTCCCACTCATCCAGCGTGCAAGGTGGCGGCAACAGCATCACGCCAACCTGAGCTGCCGGCCTGCGCAAGCGAGCCAGCCTGTTCAGTGCACTTGCAGAGGCACGCATGGCAGCGTGGGAATGTCAGGCCTCGGCAGCTTGAGCGCATCGACCAGCGTCATCGAACGACGCTTCCAGCCATACACCCGGCATAGCGTTCCTAGCGCGCTGTAAGTCGCTTGGCGGGGCACTCGTGGAGAGTGCAGCAGCCACCAGAGCATGCTCAGAACGTTGCCCGTGGTGTCGATCTCGTCAACATCGACAGCGCCGACAGCCGGCATGTCGTAGATGCACCGGATGACCACATCGGCGCTGCATCGCCCAACCGTGCGCTCAATGCGGCCGGCCACCGCTTGCGCGCGACCGCAGAAGGCGACGTCGTTCTCATAGGCGTGGCGTAACAGCGTTTCCTGCCATGGCGGGGCATCGTGACGCGGACGGCAGACGACGCGCAGCGCGCGGGGCTCGACGCCAGGTAGCACGTTCTCGTAGGGAAAGGTCATCATCGGTCAACCCTCCTCGGATCGGGGCACCGCATGCACGACAGTCGCCGGTAGCGCAGGCGGCTGGTGTTCAAGCTGCATCAGTTCGTCGGCGACTCGTAGGGCGCTGAAGCTGTGAAGGCACTCAATCAGCATCTTGCCGGTGTCCGGGTCCAACTCGCCAACACTGATGGCTGCCATGACTTGCCGTGCCTGCGCCTCTAGCGGAGCGTCTGGGTCCAACTCGAACGTCACCGTAGAAGCTTTAGCCTTGAGCGCCGGGCTGATGCGCTGCAGAGCGATGTTCGCGGCCTGCAAGTCGCCCTCAAGGGCGGCCTCGATGACGCACTGCATGATGGCCTCGCCGTGCTGCGCGACCTGAGCCTCAATTGGGCTGCGTTTGTTCGTGCTGCCTTTTGCTCGACCTCTGGGGTTCCCGGACACGCCCGGCAGCCAATGACCGCGCTCGTTCTTGCCCGGAGCCGTTTGCGGCTCATCGGACGCAGTTGGTTCAGAGCCTGTCCAGCCCGGCTCCCAAGGGCGAGAGGGTTGACTGTTCATCGCGTGCTCTTCAGCTCGGTCTTGCAAGTCAACTCACCACAGCGCCGAGGGCCGCCAACGATTTTCGCGCGCGACGGCTTTGCTCACGCAGGCGGTCAACGACGCCACGCTTGACGCCGATTGCATGCTCGGAGCTAGCGATGAAGATACTGCCGGCGTTGCTCAACCGCTGCTCTGCCTTCTCAAGCATTGCCAACCTGCGCACGGCGCCAGGATTCAGCGCGCGGTTCAGTTCGTTGTTCAGCACGGATAGGGAGTTCGGCTCCATGCCGCTGAGATACGCAGGGGTCTTCAGAACAGCGCTCAGCGTGGTCACATCTCCGGCCTTTGCCTGAGCTTGCAGGAAGCCGAGCCGCTCGGCAGGCTTCATTGCCTTGACGTGCGCGCGAATCTCGCGGCCCAGTTCCGGACTGACCGCCGCTGCTAGGGGCTTGGACAGCTCGGCGCGTTCTGCCGCGATGGTCTTCTTCAACGTTGCAAGCGAAGCATCGACGGCCTTGGTGGCTCGCGTGGACAGCTTGTCGGCCAGGTCGGCAACTGCGATGGCCCGGGCGGCGTCCGTCATGGTCGGATCCAACAGAACTGACCGGCGGGCCTCAATGATGTTGGCACAGGCATCGCGAAGGCCCGCCATCGAGCTGACCACATGCTCCAGGCCCCAACCACCGAATTCCTCGTAGCCGTCGATGCCCGTGATGTTGCCCGGCGCGAGCGAAACGGATGGAAGGGTGAGCGGGTCTTTCGACCACACAAGGTCTGCGGCCGAACTGGGCCTGCCCTTGGGGGCCTGGAAGGCCGCGTCGAGTGGCGAAGGGTGCAGAGACACGGGCGGCGCGCTGGTGTCCTCGTCTTCGGTCTGTTGGGTGCTCGGGTCCGGTTGCATGGGCTCTCCTGCTAGATGCCTGCTGTGCCGTACTGCCTGCGTGCAGCACACCTGAACATTACCGTGCAGCGCCTGCAAATAGGTTTGATAACAAGGACTTCGCGCCGCAGAGCCACAGAACGGGCAGTTCTCTGCGCGGAAACTTGGCACCCAGCGGTGCGGCCTGGGTGCGCGCGCTGTACCCCGTACCCCTATGCACACAGCGCGCGCAGCTTGCGCGCTGTGCGCAGCGCTGCGCATAGTGGCTGCTCCGCGCACTGCGCGCAGCGCACCTTGGTCGCTCATGACACGCACCAACGTTCCACCTTATGGCCGCGTCGCGTGGGGCTCTCGTACAGCTCGGTCTTCAGGAGGCCGTCGGCCCGAGCCTGTTGAAGCAATGTGGCTAGAGCCTTCTTATCCAGTCGGCGCGGATAGGCAGGGTCCGCGCTCAGGGTCGCATATGCGCCTGTCGCGGCGTTCGGTGCCAATGATGTGGAGATGAACTGCCCGCGTTCGTAGCGGCTGCGGATGAGGCTCAGCACCGCTCCGCGAAGTTCGGGTGTGGTCGGCTTGGACTGTCCAACGCCCGCATGCTCCAGCATCCCGTCCGTCGTCCACGTCAGCAGGATGTCTGTCGAGCGGCGGCCTAGGTTCGACTTCGGCTGCGACAGAACCATGCCCTCGGGACGATCGATGTCTGGAGCCAGGAGCAGGCGTGACCGAACGCTGTTGTGCCATGCCGTGCTTCCGCTGAATTGGGCTTTGCCGCTTGGGTCTCGCACGCTGGCTTTGTCAAGGTGCGCTAGCAACCAGATGGCGGCATCATTTCTCTTGGCCATGGATTTCAGGGATCGGACAAAGCCTCGAACCTGCTGGCGCGAGTTCTCATTCGCATCGAAGGTGTCGGAGGCGTTGTCCACGATAACGACGCGGGCGCCCCAGTCGGCAACGACCCGCTCAAGCTCATGGAGGTTCTTCGTAGGCACACCGCTGGGGCCAGTGTCCGCGTCGCGCACTTCGCAAAAGAGGTTGGGGGCGTCGGTCGTATCCAGCACTAGCAGCCTGCGCGCCAGTTCGGCCGGATCAACGCGGTAGTGCTCGCAGATGCGGCGCAGGCGATTGCGAAGCACGCGGTCGTCGTCCTCGCCGCTGTAGAAGACAACCTTGCAGCGCATCGTCGTCTTGCCCATGAACGGCAGCCCCATCGCCAAGCAGGTGGCCGCGATCAGGGTCAGAAGCGATTTGCCAGCCCCGCCATCGGCAGGCAGCAGAGTCACTTCACGCGCAGGCAGGAGGTCGTCGATTAGGAATTCGACGGGGGCAGCGGGCTGGGTGAAAACATCGAAAACGCTGACCGGCGTCCATGTGCACGGCTGATGAACGTGGGCGGCAGGAAGCTGGGCTGCGTTGCTTCGAGGGTTGATCCAGCCGCAGTCCTGCGCGATCTTAAAAATGGACAGGTGGGAAATGTCGCGCGGTTCGAAACTGTCCCAGGTGCGAGCTGCGTCGTCCGGTTCCCATTTCCTAGAGCGCTGAGACCATGTGGCCCACAACTCATAGCCAACCGACTCGCCCAGTGTCTTGCAAGCCAAGCCGACGCGCACCCAGATCTCACGATCGTCCGCGGGGATTGCGTTCAACGCGCTGCGCAGTTCGGTGACTGTTTGTGGATCAGCGCTGCTGGTTGAAACCGTAGCGCCTACCGCCCGATGCATGCTGTGCCTCGGCATCAGCCGCTGCTCCACGAAGTCCGCGAGGCACGTCGGCTGGTTTGGGCGGATTGGGTTGCCGGTGAACGTGAAGAACCGGCTCCGAGCATAGGCCTCCACGCCGCTATGGTTGCTGCCCAATGCTGCGAATGGCCGGCCGTAGCCGATAGCGTGACAGCCGTTGCCGCTCGGGCTGAGTTCGACGTAGCCCGGCAAATCGTTTGCTAGGTCGGCGAGCTGGTTTTGCGGCACGTCGTCCAAGTCGATGCCTTGCCAACCATCACCCAGCGCAAAGCCAGCTCCGCTGTACACGCCCGGGAGGTTCTGTATGGCCGCTAGTGCCTCGGAATAGCTCACGAGCCGCGCTACGTCTGCGGGCGAGTCCAGCACACCTTCGCGCCTGCCGCCGTCAACGTAGTAGGGCACCTTTCTCTGCTTCTTGCGCGGGTCTGCATTGGGCTCATGCCGCCATACCAACCACCGCCGTGCGGCGGCCATGGCAGGTGTTGGCGCCGCGTTTGCCGGGCTCGCTAGGGGTTGGTGGCTTGCCGGCACTTGCGTAGCGTGTGCGGCTGATAGCGTGGACGGGAAATGTTCAAGTTGCCCGGCGGGTAGGGCATTGTTTGGGGCTGACACCGACGTACGGTAGCCGGCTCCTTCTTTTGACCTGTCGGTCATGGCGAGGGTCCTTGAGGCTCACTGCGGCCAGACAGCGGCACGGCTGCATGGCGCAACTGCATTGGTAGACGCATCGGACTGCACGTCCTGCGTCGATGTACTTAGGCTGCGACGGGCTCGGCGCGGCTCGTGGTGGAGGTATAGGTGCTGGCGTCAAGCCATGCCTGTACGTCGCCTCGGCGATAGCGGACGAGGTGGCCGGCCTTCCTGAACTGCGGACCCTTGCCAAGTAGTCGCCACTTGCGTAGCGCGGCGGGTTTGCACTTCAGCCACGAGGCCAGTTCGGTCTCATCGATCAGGTCATCGGGGGACTGGTTTGTACCCATTTGGTCAGTTCCTTACGAACTGCCCGCCGCAACGGAAAAGGCTCGAGCGGCGAGCGATGTGACAGCGCGTCTCCGCGTGTCGATCGCCTTACCGCCCGAGCCTTCTCATCTCAGGACTTGCGGGGCGCTTGCCACCGCTGGCGCGGTGCTCTCATACCCCGGTGTGGCACATACCTATGCAACGTTACCTGTGTTCCCGGCTTGAGGGAGTTTGATGAGAGACGCATCTAAAGTTTTCAGGCGCGCTTCTTCTGAATCAAGCTCAGCACGTTACGGCCAGCAGCAATGTCAGCTTGCTCGACGATCCATGCGCCGACGCGTTCGGCATCGGACGCAAGGTAGCGGAGGTCGCTGGTCTCGGTGTAGTGGTTCAGGGTGACGTTGCCGCCGATGCGGTGACCGGTCAATAGCTCGACGCGCCAGAGAGGAATGTTCAGCACCGTCACCGCAAGCGTGGTCATCGTCCGCCGCAGCGCGTGGCGGTCCAAGTGGCAGCCTGCCGCCACCACGGCAGCCGCCATTGCCGGGCCGCGCGGCGTGCCTGCGTGGCCCTTGCCGCCGCGTGCGGGAAAAACGTAGGGGCAGCCTGGGCGGGGCTTGCGACTGGTGAGCAATTCACGTGCGGGTTTGGACAGTGGGAAGGTGATTGGATTACCGCCCTTGGGGGCGGGCAGGTGCCAGGAGCCGGCGTCGTCGCCCAGTTCCACACGATCCCAGGTGAGTTGCAACGCTTCCTCTTTGCGAGCGCCCGTGATCAGCATGAATGCCAGGGCGTCGGCCTGAGTTTGTGTTGCGGCGAGGTGGGCGGGATCGGCACGAACTGAACGGAGGGCTTCCCACACGTGGCCGATGCGCTCCATCGGCACCTTGGTCGTTCGCGCCTTCGGCGGCGCCATCTGACCCTTCAGCACTCGTACTGGGTTCTCGCGAATTAGAGGTTCGTCGCCGACTCGGTACTTATCCATCGCCCAGTTGATCAGCGCGCGCAACACCACGAAGGAGCTCCGAGCGGTTGTGGGCGCTGGCCGGTTGCCATTGAGCCCGCCGCGCGCCAACTCGTTGTGACGCGCCTCGCACATGGCGCGGGTGATGCTCGCGATAGGCTGGTCGGCCCATGCGGCTAGCGCTTTGTCCACGACCTCGTTGATGTCGCGAACCGTATTCGGCTTCAGTGGCCCATTGCGAGTCTTTTTGTTGGCGATGTAGTGGTCGGCAACCTGTCGCAGACTGACCGCTTGCGCTTGGGCGCGCTCGGCGTCGGCGATCTTGTCGGCCTTGGCCTGCGCTTGCTCAGCAAGCGGGTCTCGACCCATGTCCATCATGTTACGCAGCTTGCGCGCCCGCTGGCGTGCGCCATGCCGGACTTCGTCCTTGTTCGTGTCGTCGCCTTCAAGTGGCATCGCGTCCACGCGGCCGATGGTGATGCGCCGCTCGATGGCGGCACCCTTGACCCTGCCTTGAAAGACGTAGGTCTTCGCGCCGCGTACTGTTGTGCCGTCCTTAACGTGGTCAGGCAGCGCGCGCACGCCAAGACCGCGAACCTCGGTATCCCACAAGATTAGCTGTGACGTGCCCGCAGGGCACGCGTGCGCCTTGACCACAGGCACTGTCAGCTTCACCTTCCTGCTCTTCATGCTTCACCTCCAACAAGGGGTGGAGCATCAGGGGCGGTCGTCGAGAACACCACTTGATCATGGTGCGCGCGCAACAGATACATCGGCGCGAGTGCGCCGTGTCGCCCGCATGGGGCGATGACTAAGATGGACATGCTGAGTCCTTACTAGCGAAGGATGGGGCCACGCACCTCGGACGGTTGCCGCCGTCGCGGGGTGCACCTACAGCGACGCGTTGGTGTTGCGGCTGTCAGGCTGTATGGTCACTGTAAGCACCCGCCGTCACAAGCGAGAGCATTGGGTCGCTAGCGAACTCGTTCGTAAACGCTTATCAGGCAGAGGCTTTCGTAGTGCGTAGCAATGCGGCGCAACCCGTCTCAGCCATCTGTCGGGAACTCATAATCCTTTGGTCATTGGTTCAAGTCCAATACGGCCTACCAATGAATCAAGCACCGGGCGTATTGCGCCAGGTGCTTTTTTCTTTGGACTTCCGGCGGCTTCAGCGCTGCCGGCGGCGCCCGGCGGTCAGCATGCCGCCGAAGGCCAGCGTCACCAGGGCCATGCTGGCCGGTTCGGGCAACGCCAGCGCCGAGCCGGTCAGGCGAACTTCGGACAGGGCGTAGTAGCCGTCGCCATTCCTGCCGCTGAAGCGCGCCGCGGTGGCGTCGAAGCCAGCGAGGCCGCCGGAGCGCTCGAACATGCCGGCGCCGCAGCAGATGTCGGCATAGGCGTAATTGGCCCAGTTGCCGCCGGCATCACGCAACTCGACCAGGTACTGGTCGTTGTTGTCGCCCTGGATGGAGACGAAGTCGACGCGGAACAGGCCGCCGAACTCGATCTCGATCGAGTTGGCCGCCGACAGCGGGTTGTGCGCGTCCCACCACAGCGTGCCCTGCTGCCAGGGGGTGCCGCTGGCCAGGTAGACGCCGTCGTTGATGGTGCTGGCTGCGGCGGTGGGGCAGGTGGCGTCGGGGCACCAGGGGTAGGCCTGGCCTTGCGCGCTGAGCTGGCCGAAGACGCCGGTGGCCGTGATCGGCTTGCCGGTCGTCAGGTCGATGGGGCCGGCCGACGCGGCACCGCTGACGGCCAGAGCCGCGATGGCTGCGCAATGGGTGAGAGCTCGCATGACGTCTCCAGGCTTCGGGTGCCGAAGAAGATACGCCCGGCCGGGACCGGGCTACATCCCGCAACCGGAGGATGTGGTTGGCCGGCGAGCCAATACATTGAGGAAAAGCGCCTCATCGCTGCACAAGAGAAAGCCCAAAAGAGAAGGCCCGATACCTTGGCATCGGGCCTTCAGTCGGTTGGCTCTTGAGGCAACTGTCTCAGCTGCAACTCTGTGCGTCCCGACAGAACAAATTTAGGTCACGGGCTGCGGCATGGTTAGGTCGTCAATGCCGGGTCAGCGTGTAGGCCGAGCCCTACGGCCTGACGCCGTCATACCGCGGCGCTGCCGGCGGCGCCGTCGCGGCTGAGCGCACCGGCCGGCAGGTC